TTTGATAATGTCCACCGCAGTTGTGGACGAAACGTCAGGAAGAAATTCCCATAGACCACGGCTTCAAAGCCCGGAAAACATTCCTAAATGTGACCTTTTAGCTTATTCGAAAAAGGCCTTATTAGCCTTTTGAACGCCCAACTTTTTCCCCAGTTAACAACTCGACTTCCATAAGTGCTAACCAAAAATTCCGTATCAGTTTTGCCATGGACGTAGACTAAATCAACCCGTTCTCCTGCATCATCGGGAAAGCTCAACATTATGAAGTTTGCATGAAAAATGCCAAAAAGTACTTACCTAGCTTTCCTTACGAGGGATCCGTCCTTTTTCCTTTGCAGTACGAATGGCAGGCGATTGGAGATGACGATCATGCTCCCCGTAGAGGAGACCACATCTGGGGAAGTAACTTTAATTGAGTGTTTCGCCCTCATTTTACCCTCAGTCACTATCTCCAAATAAAAAACGGTTGAAATTCGCTCTGGAACTGCTCGCTAAAGGCGCATAGCTAACGACCGCTGATAAAATGTGCTATGATTGACGAGCAATTGATATATTTGTGTTCTTTTATTATCGATTAGCAGTTTGTATCACCAAAAAAATCGTACTATCGAAGCAATATTTCTTGTGGCACTGAGTAAACAACGATCTCCGTGGCTTCTTTAATGGACCAAGTCGAGTTTCTCGGGGTCAGCAGAGTTATCAGTTCGCTCAAACGGCTTTGGTCAATTTGTTTTGTTTAACAGATTTGAGCCATTCGACGATCGTCAGTCAATGGAAACAGGGTGAAGCGATATTAACCCAGCATCTAGCGCCAAATATTACGCTACACATTTTTAAATGTGATCTTTGCATCAGAATCAAAATACGCACGCAAAAAAGCCATCCATTCACTCGATCACAGCATGATTGGAAACTCTCCAGAAAAAAAATGTTTGATATTAAACTTGTATGCTGTATTTTTAGTATTGACCTTCCAAAATCAACAAACTTTCTATAAATATCTTGAGTGAATTTGTGTTCTCAGTACAAAGTGCCGGGGGATTGGGCAGTTTAACCCTCCAGTATAGAGAAAATCGGGCTTCTGACGAAGAACTGGAAATTTTCTTTCATGTCTTTTCATACAAATATTAGAAAAACAGTCTTAAGCAACATGAGTGCGTGGCAATAGGTCAAAACTTAAAAATTATAAAGTGAAAATCCATATATAAAGCAAAACCATTTTCAATAATTATATAATATACTAATGACATGATAAACAATAACCATATCAATGGAAACAAAATTAGATTCTATTTACACACAACCAACAATAATTATTATTATGCAGGGTGATTCAAAATTGGAGTCATTCTTCTGGACCTGTTGTCTGGCGGTGTTTTAGGAGTACAGAAAAAATAGTTAAAAAAATTAATTGCTATTAAAAACTGAGAAATTTGCAAAAAACTATATTAGAAAAACGGCAACAATGTTTTTCAAAGTAATCTGCATAATTGACATTACGTAAATACTTCTGGCTTCGTAATTATTTAAATTTCCGGTAACCATGGAATTATACAGAAAGTGGCAATAAGATGGACAAGGATAAACGGTAAATTCAACAGGAATCGTTGAATGACGGAACCTATTTCGAAATTCATAACCGCGAATTATTAATTTGTTTACAAATTTCAAAAACATACATTTGAGTCTGTAACTTCAAACAAGTGCCTGTGCACTCTTCTCGAGCAGCTTCTCGTATTCGGTTAATTAACTCCTGCTCAATTTATACCGGTGTTCAGTAGTCCATTGGTTTAATGTGATCTTACATACGTGGCATTTATTTGGTGCCTGGAAAAGTGTCAATGGTTGTGCAAAGTTCTGAGTGCCCCTTTTGACTTTTCATCAAAAAATTGTAGAAGAGAATTTCTTTAATATCAAAAATTTTCGTAATTGGACAAAAAGATTGTAATTTTTCTTTTCGAATGCTTAAATATTCCAATATGCTACCAATAAAAGATGGAATACTTTCAAAATAATGCTTAATAACAAAGTTGAAATTCGATTTTCAACCGTTAATATATTCTAGAAATTATCGACAAATTTTTTCAAAATTATTTTCTCGTACTCTCCAAGTGAGCCCCTATTACCCCTTAAAAGGAATGACGCCAATTTTGAATCACCCTGTATATACGTCAAATATGTCAACATCGTCGTTCTGCTTTGTAACGTGATGCTTATTAACGTTACAGCTAATCGTACGTAAATAAAGGAACACGTTATCCTCTAATAACGTAAACGATTATTTCTTTACTAATGCGCATACTCAGAATAACGGCTAACGTAAAACGTGTTGCAATAAAGGAGCCTAAAAACTCCCTATTAATATTGGCTAACGCTGTTATTGAAGGAGAAGGATTACAATGGGTGTGAGAAAGAAACTCGAATGAACGAACAGAACTAGTGTGGGACGCACATAAAATAAAATTATGAAACCCGAATTTCCGAAAATACAATTTTGTATAAACACAACAATTGTTTAATGGTTTTTTTTGCAAACTTTGTTTCTCATTTGACGTACACGTCCCTTGGCCAACTGATGTTACTGCATTGAAATATTTTTCCAAAATATCAAAATTTGAACCATTACTAATTTAGTTTCTGTATTTTTCTATTTGTGTTTCGGCAAATGTTCAAACTATCACCTTGAATGAAGAATTCATCGCCTACCCTAAGACAACATCAGCGTATATTGACCTAAAGACCGTCTCAACTTTTTCTCAGATTAAAAAATTACAATTATTTGATGACAACATCAAATAAAATCTATAATACTAGAAACCACAAAGAAACAGGAATTTGTTTCGTCACATGATAAATATTAGTTTTTTTTTATCACAGACTATTAATTCAATTCATCTTCAGAACCAGATGGTTGATATCTTGGTATTACATGAAAGGTTCAAAAACTAATATTTGCAGTTCTAGACGCTCTAACCCACATTAGCTCCATCTCGCACTTTAAGTTCTTGCTGCGTATCAGAAAATATTGAGCGGGTCTAAAGCGAGAGATGGAGCTAATGTGGGTTAGAGCGTCTACGTTCAATAAGCACCAGTAACATTTTCCGGTATGTATATCTGAAACAACCCACTCAAGCACATGAATTCGGGGCGACCAACTGAAAAAAAAATTCGAAAAGCCGGAAGTATGCAAAAAACAGACTATAAAGGCTTTCGCGACCGGTTAAATCACATTTAGGAATGTTGAATGAAATGAAAATTGAAAAAAATTCCCATAGACCACGGCTTCAAAGCCCGGAAAACATTCCTAAATATGCAAAAAACCTTTCACTGAATGAGAATCGAAAGTTTTACCCCAATGAGAAGCAGCAAAAAACAAGTTTCAGAAAATCACATTGAAAAACTGATTCACTCTGTAAAATAATTCGGGCAAACAATAAAGATTTGAGGAAGTTGAGGGTAAACAAACAAAATTCCAACCGGCTCCGAACAATTTGGGAGAATTCGCTTTCATTTGATCAACAGTTGAGAATCACGCCGGCTCCAGGTGGTCTACTTTGAAACTGACGTCAATCGAACTGACCCCAGATGCCATTTTTTGGCCCCTGTAGACGATAATCGCGATCCGGTACCAGGCGATTAACACTAAACGGGAGCCGATGAAGAGAAAAAAAACACTGTGTGTCTGCAGAAAAATATTTGTGTTGTTTGCAGTGCGTCAGTAATTTCTGGGACGCCGGTCTTATCGAAATAGTGCAAAGATTAAAGACCTTGTGGTCGCAACGCAACTCACCCGCATTATTCAGCATGCCATTTTCTAACACTTCTTTTACGTAAAGGGACGGAGCCATGGTGAAACTGAGTTTCCCAGCAAAGCCACTAGCCAAGAGGCGCCAATGTTCGATTAAACGCCACTTAGCCCCGATAGAAAATGTTTCTGATTTCCAGATAACTCTACTAGCGATACTGAATCAAACTCCACTTAAATATTGCCAGTACTCAGATCCTTATCCCCGTGCCTGATTGGTGGGGATATCTATTTTTGATATCAAAGTGAATCCGAAACTCAAAAGTTCACCATCATTCACTCAAATAATGCTCTCAATGATTGTAATCGCCCCAATTACATACTAAGTATCACAACTTCGAGTTAATACTTAGAAACAGCGCACCAATCTTTATATGGTGATTGTGTGTAAGGTTGTCAACAACAGAACATTATTCCGCAATTAGATAAAGATAATCCGTTTGAATGTTCATCAACATTCTGCGCCACCATCAGCCAACTCAAAATCCCCAGCCATTAAGCAATCAACTAACCCTATCGGGATCAACAGTTTGATATCAAAGTGGGGTCGATCAACGCACAGAGCTAGAGATCATTTTCTATATAGAGCGGATGAAAGAAACTTTCCTTTTGTTATTATTTCCATGTGAAACTTTGTTGATTGAGCATTTTGGAATTTCTCAAATTTCAGTTGGCATTTTTTGGAAGCGGTACTTTAAAATGCGATTTTATGAATTCATTTAAATAAATATTTCCTGGGCGTTGGATTGGGACACGAAGGTCGATAAAATGGCCTCTAGAATCACCGGATTTTCCACTTTCAGATTACACTTTAACATTTACGAAAATGTGTTTCATTTTTAACTAAGTGTTAAATAGTTATTCGATTTTGTAGCTATATTCGAAATTCACAAATTTTTTTCTTCGTTAAAATTGTTGAGCTCTTCGTTTTTTTATGCTGTCCTTTAACCCGTCCTGAAACAGATTTCCCTCCTGACGTTTCGCAAGGACGACTGCTTTGCATCTTCTATCAATTTTAACGCATTTTTTTCGTAAAATCTGCAAAATATGGCTGAAAAATTTACAGTAGAATTTCTTCAATCCTCAACCATTAAAGGCGCGAGTATAACCTTTAATAGATATTTCCAAAAAACTATTCCAATTGCAATTAATTTGAGGGCCCAAAAATGTGACCCATTTTAATGTTAAAAATGCTACTTTTGTATTGAAAAATAGTAGAGTTTATTTAAGGATGGATTCCCTTGGTGAAACAGTTTACTAAATTAATAAATCCACATTTTTTCACCAATTTTCAAAGTGCGTTTTTCTCTTGGGCAAACGATGCTCAATTTGACTACTAATCAACTGAAAAGTCGCTTTATTATGCATTTGCTTAATTGCGTTAACCTTATGAGTGAATCCTAAAGAGAATCGTTTAAAGCCAAACAACGCACAAAACGGGCGTTTTGAATTATTCGGAATCAATTTTTACTACTGCGACCTTCCTAATTTTCAACGAAACGGAATGCGCTAAATCGACCGATTCTGTCCAAACATATTTGGCAAAATACCTTTATGAGGATGTTTCGCAGTGTCTGTGTACGGTAAAC